GGGCTGGGAGTGCGCCGCTGTCCGATGCCTGATGGAATCGTGTCTGTCCACCCAGGTTTAATCATTGACGCTTTTGGGGAGCTGCGAGACCAGCAGGAACAAGTCAAGGAGGACATGGAGGTGAGTCCCGGAGCCCCTTGCGGCCTCTGTGATGCCCGCAATGCGCCAGCTGTGCCAGGCGCCGGGGACCCGGGCTGGTGCCCGGGAATAGACGCCCCCCCCCCCTGCCTGCGGGCGACCCGCCCCGGCAGGTCCTTCCACGGCGCGCGGATTGGTGGGTTGGTGGCTGCTGAGCCCTGGGCAGGAGGAGCCCCTGGGGCCTCAGAGCTGGCGTCTGTTCCTCTTGGGGGTGAGGAGCTTCCTAAGGAGGGTTTCCAAGTGGGCGCCTAAGATTGAAGCCAGGATGGGGGCGGGGAGGCAGGGCAGTTTAGGAGACCCCCAGGCTCACCCCGAAGAGCGCCTCCAGGGCCCCAGTCTCTCCCACAATGAGCGGGCCCAGCCCCTTGACGTGAGATTCTCCCAGAGTGGGAGATGCCCCCCCACTCCTCCACACCAGGCGCTGATGTCTGCCCTCCTTTAGAGAAGTACATGCTCATTTTTCTCTTGGAGGTGGAAGTGACCCAGGGTGAAACGACAGCTGGCTGGCGGTGGGCTGCAGAGGAAGGCAGGCGTGGAGGCCAGGAGCTGGTTTGGGGGATGCGTGTGACTTACAGCTCCCGGGAGACACATTTTTAACTAGGAGTGAAGTTAACTAGGAGTGAAGACGGGAAGGATCTAGAGACTTGGCAAGACTAGGGGCAGGGAAGGAGCATTTCCTAGGAGCACGTTGGGGCCTTTGCTAAGTGAAAAAGTCACCCATGGCCTGGGGACCAGCAGGATCCGGGCAGGACTCGGCTGGGCTGGAAGGACTCGAGGCAGCCCAGGCAGGACACGCAGCCCTCACCAGGCGGATGGGGGCTCGTCTCCCACAGAAGCAGTGGTGGTGTCACTGCACAGCCTGGAGGTGGCCGAGGAAGAGCCGCTTCCACCAAGCCTTAGGCGCCAGTGATCTCCTGAAGGGGCCTTGAGGGGTGTCGAGACATGGCTGTTGAAGGCGGGCTCTCCCTCCCCGCTCCCCACCAGTCCGTACTAGGAAGAATTTTCTCAGCCCGCCTGGATCACCTTGATCCGGGTCCCGGAATCTAGAGCGTCAAACATATCTCAGATGGTATTAAAGCACTTGTCATTTGCACACTTGTCATCTGGAGTCACCCGGGACCGTGATACCGAGTTCACTCCAGTCCCTGCTGTTAAGGGGCAGGATGTCCTGAAGTAACTCTGCGGAGTCTTATGGGCCCCACCCCCTACTCCAGCTTTCTGGACCCTACACCATACTCCAGCGACTGGAAACTACAACTCCCAGCAGCACCAGGAAGAGAGCTGCGAGGACCCAAGGGCGGAGCTAGCAAGAATTCTGGGATATTTGGGGGATAAATAGGGCTCAATTGCATCTCTCTCGGTCTCTCTCGCTGGGGAAATGACTCTCCTGCCCAGGTGACTTGGTGTGTTCAGTCAGCCCAGCCGTAAGGTATTCCACTTACTTTTTTTTTATTTCCATCTGCTCTCTTTCCCTGGGTTGTTTCTCCTTTTGTAAATCAACCGGTTACTGGCCCTTTCTTGTGAGGCCCACAGACAGGCGGCTGGGTCCACTCTGGGCTGCCCTGTAACACTACCTCTGACATTCAAGTGATACGTGGAGGGAGCGTTCCGCGCAGGCACCACGTTTGTGATTCCGTGGACCGTCCACGCCTTCCAGCTGCTGCCCCTGAGGCATGTTAACCTCCAGAGGACACGGCTGTGGTGACCATAACGTTTCCTCATATTCATGTGCTCGCACGGCCTTGCTGGAGGATCTCTTACATCTATTGAGAGAATCAACTAGATGAGGTTTGCTTTTGCTGGGTTCTCCTGAGATCTAACACGTGAACGTCTGGCTTCGTCTCCTAGACCAAGTGCTTCATCTGTGGGATAGGCAACGACTACTTCGACACGGTGCCGCACGGCTTTGAAACCCACACGCTACAGGAACACAACTTGGCCAATTACCTGTGAGTGTGCCTGTCCCGACTGTCGCCTCTGCCCAGCCCACCAACCTCCCGGGTTCTCAGACTTGAGAGCAAGAGACACCAGCTTCTTTCTGCTTTGTAACGAGGCCCAGCCCTCCAAGTCCTCTTCTGTTTTTAAAGATGGATTGATTGATGCATGCGGAACTGGGGTGCAGGCCAGAGGTGTGGGGGTGAGAGGTTCACCAGAGACAGAGTGGGGACATGACAAAGTCCACTGCTGAGGGGAGCAGCGGGGAGACAGGAGGGGTCTGCTGCGCCCAGGGGGTCCCTCCCTGGCCTGGGGGCAGCCCTGGGGCTGCATTGTGTTTTTCACACTGACTGTTAATCCGTTGAGCGGCCCAGAAGGGGCGTCTTTTTGATCCATAGATACCTAGCTGTCGCTTGAGACTAGCCAGGGCTGTAGTTCATGAAATATTATGCCGAGTCTGTTTCTGGCATGATTTTAATATCAAACAGAAGAAATTGAGAGCAGCGTCACAGAACAGCCGTGGGCTTTGACACGTGCAGCTGTGTGACATTAGACAAGTCACTTAACCTTTAGATCCCTCCACACGGGTGGCAGCTCCTGTCCCACGAGTGGGTGAATACGGAATCATGGCAGGAGGGGTCCGGCACTGAGCCTGGCAGAGAGCAGCTCCCCAGTCACAGCGTGGCCTGAGCACCCATTTCAGCGCCTTTGAAAATGCGGTTCCAGAGACGCTCACGTTTTGGGTCCCTGGGACAGTTTTTGCCTTGGAGTTTTGACTCGTCCCTTGCTCTGCCCACAGCGTGAGGCGTTAGAGCCCAACAGGAGCAAAGCTGTCTGTTACCCACACTCAGTTTCTGATCAGTCTCTTTCTGTATCGGTAGGTTTTTCCTGATGTATCTTATAAACAAAGACGAAACGGAGCACACGGGACAGGTGGGTAACAGTGCTGCACACGGCCTGCGGAAAGGTGGTAGCAGGGAGCTCGCACGCTGGCGCGGGGTGTGTGCCTTGCATAGCGAAGGGTGCAGTCATGGTGTCTTCACGCCCAATTCCTGTTCTCCTGGGTGCCAGAAAAAGAAAAATGACAGTGTTGCAGGAATAATAGCTCATCTTAGCTGACCGTGCAGTGCCGGTGCGTAATGATGACAGTGCGCTTGATTATGGCATCAGATGGTAGGAGATTTCAAGTGCAGCCCAGGGCACAGCGGCCAGACACGGGTGGGGCAAAATGGGGATGGGTGCAGCAGGCACAGGTGTCAGGTCTGACGCCGCACGCACAGCGCACGTGGTCCGCCACCAGCGCTACTTCAGTGGAAATGAAGAGACGAAATGTCTGTGGTCCTTCTGCTACGTGGGTTCTCGCACCACAGCTCTTCATCTGTATTCATTCGAAGCCTGTAACTAATACCGGCACACTGTTAGGAGTCTTCAGAATCCTGTATCTCAGGGTTTTTGCCATCACTGCATTTGGGTGAGGCGCGGGCTCGTTACCTGTTTACTACTAGAAGTAAGCAAGGTCTGGTGATGCTGTGAAGACTCAGAATGGGCGTGCACTAGCGTGTGAGTGCACAGTGACACCCAGGCAATGCCACAGCGTCGTCTTTGGCTTCTTCCCAACTTGTGTTTTGTGGCAGCTCAGACACCGTGGGAACACACAATGCTGACGTGTTTCCTTTACCTTCACAGGAATCGTACGTCTGGAAGATGTATCAGGAAAGATGCTGGGAGTTTTTCCCAGCAGGAGATTGTTTCCGGAAACAGTATGAAGACCAGCTAAATTAGACCCAAACCCAGGTCACCACTGAACACCAAACCCCCCTCCTCCCTCTCCCTGTCACTTCTCTCTCTCCTCCTCGCCCGTCCTCTCCCGGAAACATCCGATTGGGTGAACTGCCAGAGGCACGTGCTCCCGGGGGCGTTGCAGCTGTTTCTGGAGATCTGACTCTGCTTCCCCCCACTCCCCACCTTGTGCATTTTCTTTGAATAAAGACTGAAGAATAATCTGAATCCACGCACAGACAAAATAGGAACTCTGGCAAGAACCATTCTGGACATGCCTTGTCATCATAAGGACCGACAGATCTCCTCCCCAGACCGATGGACTCCTGGAGCTGCGGGACATTCACAGAGAAGCGTGACAGCCACACTCATCGGCCTCTTTAGTTCACCATCCTGAAAGGAACTCTCCTGATGGGTCACAGAGCACTGTAGCACTTACAGATTGCAGTGGACACCAGTTACGAAGGGAAATAGTGCCTTACTATATGTGGGTTGAGCTATGCAGAAGATATGTGCATGGAATACATCTTTATTTTCTTTATGTCGACTTTCTTTTTCTTAGCTAGGTTGATCTTGTGTTATTTTCTTTATTTTTCTCGGTGGGGGAGGGTAAGAAGTGCTGTTGTGTGCACTTTTATAAAATGGCGGTACCCCGGCCCGGGGCAAGAGGAAGCTCTTCTCACTCTGCTGAGTTCACATTTACTCTCCCCACGTGCTCCGCTCTTCTTTTGCTGATGCTCTGATGCAACATCGCAACTTTATGAAATCTTTGTATGAAAACAAGACTGCAGAAAATACACTTTCAAAAGAAATAACTCACTGCATGTTTATTATGCAAGTTTCAATGAACAAAGAAAACCTTCAGAAGCAAGTTGATCAACGTGAGAGAACTTTCATGATTATTATCTTCATAGTAATAAAGTGTTGTGGGCTTAACTGTATATTTGGAGCCCGTGCCATCCGCCAACAATGTGACACATTACGAACTTGGCAGTAGTTTTGGGTTGTTCTCTTCCTTTCGGCCACCTGTGATCAGTTGTTGATTAAGGACTTCTCGTCAGGCCATTTTTTAATATCAAAGCTGAAGCAATACCCATTCAGGGATTTCATCAGTTGCATCGAGAAACACGGATGATGACATCCATCACTCCATTTTGAGTCCTTTTAAATGCAATGCTAATCTTTACAAATAAAAGTCAGATTCAGAATGGAAGCAAGGTCATTTTGCAAACATTGGAGCTCTTTTATTACAAGTCTGCTTGTTAATTTTAGAATTGTAAAACTGCTCTGATTAAACTATTTAACTTTCTCACCTTCCTCCGTCTCCAATTCACTCATAACTGAGATGTGTTTCAGAAACCTTCACCTTTTAACTTGAGGGGGGTCTTGGGCAATGTAGGCGCCACCCCAAAGATTTGACCATCATCATGTTATCTTTGCAGCTAAGCAACTTGCTGCAATGAGGATGATGGAACCTTGAGTTACCGGAAATTTTAAATCACCTTTGCCCCGCCCCTGTCACTTTCTGTCTCAAGGAGATCCCGATTTCTTGGAGACCTTTTCCTCACCCAGGGCAAGTTCATTATTCCATAATCAGAGATACCCGTTTTCTATCTCAATAGGGGAGAGAATCGGTACTCTGGTAAGTGGCAGGTTGAGCAATCCCTCACTCGTTGGACATTGTAGGGACTCTGCTGGGTGCCATTTTTCAACATGTCTGCACAACATCACTCCTATGGAACCTAGATCTGGTCACTATCCTTGGGCACCATTTCTATTTGTGTGATGGAATCAACTTGGCTCCCCCTTGGGAATGACCAAGACAGCTCAGGGAGTGATATGTTCTGAGGAATGAAGTGCATCAGGTCAAGCTCGTAACAACAACATGCTCCCCTTTCCCACTCAGCACGGCAGAGGAAGCCTCTAGTGTAAAATTGGATAGATTCAGATCCACTGGCTCTAATGCCTGGGTCAGAGTTGGCGTGAGGCAGCATGGGTAGGCGGTGATCTGTTCCCAGTTGGCGCCGGGGTTTAGCAGGCTTCTTGACCTCCTGCCTGAAGGTCGGGTCATGAGAGCCTGGGAGGTGGCAGGAGCGCTCCGGGCGGACAGAAGAGACTGAGCTTGAGAAGGAAGCTTCCCCCCTCAGGCATCGGTGTACAGAAGCACGGTCACCCCTCGGAGTCCCCCCACCCCCACTCGTTGGCCTTGTCATTGGCCCGCAGTTAGAGGAGGGCACCCTGTCGAAAGGCGGGGCCCTAACTTTATCGCCATTGTCAATGCTCCTGGGAAGTTTAAGAGGATCTCAAACACAATGAGGCTCTCCACGCCTCTGCTTGTACTCGGGCTTCCTTGAGCCAAGGAATGGAATCCTTTACAAAGGTAGAATACAAACATCAAAACATTCACAAAGGTGCGTTCTTTCTATAGATCTGCCTCAACACTCCGTTTTTCTGCTGTTCTCAGTTCATTTTTTCCTCTTCGTTTTTTCTCTCTGAAAATGTGCTGATCCTACTCTGGAAACTTAGAATCAGAGCTGAAGTTAATAGATCTCCAAATATAATAAGCATCATTTATTGCTCATGTCAGGAGGCTACTCACTCTTACCCCATAAAGAACCAGTTAAAAGCCACACTGGGATGGTTCGTGAGTGACTCAGCAGTGGGAGAACACAGGACTACACTGGTGAAGGAAAAGTAGTGAAGAAATCACCTAAAATTCTAAAAATAAGTCATATTGTAATGGATGTGCTTTCTGCCTGGCTGTGAAAGCCTATTTGTAAGAATTACACTTTTATCCCCACCATCTTCCTTACATAGGGAAAAGTCCCTATTTCTTAAGATCCACTTTTCTGGGTGAATAGTAAGGTCCCCAATTGCTGGATGGAGAGTTGGGTGACTGTCAGTGTGGTGAGTGCCTGGTTTTCTTTCAGTACAGTAAAATAAAAGAGAACCTTCAAAATGTTTATTTACTGCATTTAACCAAATCTGAAATGCATGTATACTTGACCTAGAAACAGGCTTTGATAGCTAGACAGTCCCAAAATCATCTCATACATATCTCCCTGCCATGCAGAGGATGACCCCCGTTACGTTCCTGGTAATACTTCTGCTCAGCACTCGGAAATATCTGTTGCCAAAGCTGGAAAAATACCCCAATCTTGACGAGGATGAGCATGGCACTTGGGTTTTTAACGACCAGAAGTATGAAGAGCATTTCTACAGGGGCCGAGGTCTGAACTCACCATGCCATCTAAAATCAGGGCATGCTATTTCAGTGTGCGGCTGATGTATTCAGCAGCTAGTGAGTGTTCCCTGAAACAGCAACTACGGTGCACAATGTGGTACAGAAGCAGTAAGCGCCAGTATGATTTAGTTGTCTGTGCAACATCTGAGGTCTAGAACACCCGAGCTGGAAAGGATTTGAACAATCTTGTTTCAGATGAAGCCCTCTAGGCTGTCCAAATGGCTTAACTGAAGTCACTGTGTTGATTAGAACTGACGCTTTCTCCAAGAAGCGAGGATTCTTCTTAAATCTTTTCCCTATTATGGCCACACTGGTTGGAAAATACTAGGTTCTTTGTAACTTTGCAAAGTGAAACAGGAAAACATGTAGTCAAAAAAGGCTTGATGAAACAGCATCAGTTCTCGCCTGAGTGTACCTCGATGATAAAGGAGTTCTGGAAGGGATTGTCAAATGAATAGCCAACTTGAATATGCACCATTGAGCACAGCGATTTCTAAATAAAGAAACCAAATGTCAATTTTTGCTTAAGACAGCAAAGAAAGTTACTATTTTGTTTTAGTATCTGCCTTCTTCCTTGATAAAATTCTATAGATTCCATTTTTTTAAAGCTATGGAGAGATTGTGTTATTTTGGCTAAAATAATCCAGTCCAGTTGCGATACTACCATGATGAAGATAATTTTGGTTCATGTTTTCTTCTTAAAGACTTTTGATCTCATCACTTAATGAAAGGTTTTAGGGATCAAAGAATCCTACATGTAATTTTCCACAAAATTATCTTGCTATATGAACTCTCCATTTGCATTAAGCATTGCTAAATGGACCTTGAATTTTTGTTTTCAGACTCAAGTATTCTTATAGATTTATGACTGGTTAACACCACTGGCTAGTACCACTAGCTATTATGAAGTGTAATGGCCCTTACATGAATAACAGAGAGGCAGAAACTTTATAGTGCTGATAATTATTTAAAAAACCACCACAGCTAAAAGTTATTGCACGTCATAATTTGAATTTCCTGCAGTTTTGAGCCTAATGTTGAAAAATGTATTAAAATTGGGTAGACTTAATCTCCTATGTAAATTTGAAAATAGACAAAGGCAGATGGGATGTTAAGAATAAAAATATAGATAGGCCTAAAATAATCATTCCTTTTGGCAGAAAGAAAGTAGTTCTCTGCTTAATCTTTTCATATCATGACCAAGTTCAAGTCCCTCCTACATATAATAAAGACGAAAGAAACCTTGGCAAACTAGTTTAAACTTATAAAAGTTCATAGTCAGGTGATTTTCAGTTTGTCCTTAATTTCTACATACACAGTAGAAAAATAATTGCTTTAGCAATTTTTTCGTCAGGGGGAAAATTAGTAGGAACGCTTATTTTGTTTAAAAGTAAAAATACAGTAAGACTGCCCACATATACAAATGTCATGAAGCTTTAGAGTAGGCTGAGGCGAAATGTTCCATGCAGAAAAATACTTTCCACCCCAAAGTAGGCAGTATGGTTAAAAAAAAAAAAAGGAATCACTTGCTAGTTATCCTGGCTTGCCTCTGTGTGGACTCATCTTAGCCTGGTTCCCTAGAATGTGGCCTGAAGCAGGGACTGAAGTGATCAGATCAGGTGCAAGGAGGCAGCCATGTGGCGCGGCGCAGCTGAGTCAGACAACAGGCACCATGGCAAGCAGAGGCCGCAGCCCTAACCCCTGCTCCAGGGCCCGGGAGGGGCGGCCAGCGGTCTGTGGGCATGTCCACGGTGGGCTGGGAGTTCACGAGACCCCCGCCAGGAGAAACTGGCCTGGCGGTCAATCCACAGCAGTCAGGACCGGGAAGGAATTCGTCACTCCGCTCTCCTGTTTCCCCTTCGTTCAGCTCAACTCGGGTCCCACCTGCCTGCACCTGTTGCCTTGACTCATCTGGGGCCCAGGAGCTGACTCCCTGTATCTGCCACCTTAAAGCGTCCCCAGAAGACTGTTCCACACGCTTCACTTATGTAAAATAGTAGCAACTACCCAAAATAAAACACAGGGAAAATGATTAAAAACACGGGCTTTATTTTTACATGAACAGAACACACACACAAATGTGATTGTCTCAATAGATGTGGAAAAAAGCATTTGATAAAAGCCAGCACGCTTCTATTATTCAACACTTTTTTTTTAAAGATTTATTTATTCATTCATATAGAACTGGGGTACAGGCCAGAGATGCGGAGGGTGAGAGGATTCACCAGAGACTGAGCGGGGAGCAGAACAGGCAGATGGACGAAGTACACTGCTGAGGGGAGCAGCGGGCGGGTCAGGAGAGGTCTGCTGTGCCCTGTGGGCCACTTCCGGGGCAGGCAGGGATTGAACTCATGCGGAAGTGGTTTCAGCTTCTTAGTGCTGTGCTTTAACCCACTGTGCCACCAGGGAGGGCCTATTCAATACTCTTAACTAGCGAGAAATAGAGAGGAGCTCTCTCAACCAGGTAACACCCCAAAATTCACTGTAAGACTCCAAAGTGAACATGGTTAACAGTGAAAAACAAAATGCTTTTCCCCTCCAAGCATCAAGAACAAAACAAGCAAACAAAAAAATAGGTGTTTCTTGACTTTCCTAGAACTGGGGGTTCTGCTCAGGGAAACTAGGCAGGGAAAGGAAATAGAAGGCGAGGAGAAAAGGAAGAAGAAACAGTACCTGTACCCACAGCAGGTGTGTGTCGTCACACAGGCACAGCTATCATCTGCCTGTCTGTCAATCATCTGTCTTTCTCTATCTCCAATTCCACACCAGCACCCCGAATTTTACTCTAGTGTTCCCGCTTCCATATTCGCACTCTTTTTCAATATTTAGAAAATTACACCCTTTTGCCCTAAACATTTTCTAGTTGGGTCAAGAATCCCTCCGTGGAGGGCCAGTATTTCACTGCCATGTCATCCTCCACTCGGTCACTCTCCTCACTAGACCCAGGTCTTGGAACCTTCACCAGTCTGCTCTTCCCTCGGCAGCTTCGGACACTTGTCTGGCCACCCAGCCAGGTCCCTTTCCTCCATCCTGGACACTGGCCTCGCCGCTCTCAGCCCTC